TCTAATCAGATTCAATGATCTATGCTAAGCTGCAGCTAAAAGTGCTACCGCCAGACCCGGAGATCGGCTGAATGGATTCGAAAATGGTAAAACTCAACTGTTTAACTCTAGGGGAGTTGGAAAATGAGCCTATTTTCAAAAATAGTGGAGTGTTCCTTTAAGACTGGTTTTGTGGTCCAGGGTCACATATAGTACACCACCATTAATAAAGGTTGGGGTCTGTAAGATGTTTTTATGTCTGTGAAAGAAGTCTCTTATGCTCACCTAGGCTGTATTTATTTGATCAAAATTACAGTAAAAGAGCAATAATGTGAAATATTATTACAATTCGTTTTTTACTGTCACCTTTGAGCAATGCAGCCTTGCTGAAAAAAAGTATTCATTATTTTTAATCTGACCCCTAATTGACAGTAGTGCACATATAAAGTTGGTAGTAGCTAAATGGTCTGTTTTTTCACACAGCTGTTGGATGCAGAGAGTCTTGAAGCACCCCTGCAGTCTGTTGAAGGCATCTGCGTGAATGATGTGGTGTGGCACACAGGTGCTTTGAAGGGAGACGGACACACGCTGAAGGTACTTTTGAATGCCACCTTACGCTGGCAATACCCCACCGAGCAGGTCCGCCATTTCCGGATTCACTGGAGGCATCTCCGTGGTCCTGACCCTCGCATTCCCCCTGGTCCGTTGACTCTGATTGGCAGATCTTACTCTACCCTGTACCGTGTGGTGGAGCTGGAGGTGCCTGCTGCTCCGGGTCTCATAGAGCTGGTGGTGGAGCCTGTGAGCAGAGAGGGATTCAAAGTGCCTGAGGTCCAGTGGGGCCGACGCACACTCAGCTACAGTGCCTAAATTGAGGGTCCTCAGAGAGCCCATCAATGTCACATGCTGTTTTCATAGTATAAACAAATCTCTCTTCTATTTGATATGCAGTATAAATGTGTGATGAGTTGGTGCTAAATATGTATTCAGTATTTTGTGAATGACTGAAAACTTAATTGAAGAAGCAGCAAATCGAATTTGCACTATATGCAATATTATTCGTATATATCCTTTATTATAGTAAAAGCCATTTGAAGTACTAGTGTGCATTTTGACCACTATTGTGCGAGGACCAGAGTGGTCCGTTTCTTTTAGTGATTGCACATATATTCTACAGCTTTATAAGTTCATAATCTAACATTTATTCATAAATGGCATGCAAACTTCATGAAAATAATCATGTACCTTCTTCGAAATTGTAAAATGTTATTTTAACGAAAGTCTCTTAATGAAATTCACTTGTTTATGCATTTGTGTGAAAACAAGAAAGGAGATGATCCTAGTTTTCCTTCTTGACTTGCAGATAAATTATTTGTATTGCATAAGTCATGGCCTAATGGTTAGAATCGGACTCGTAACCCAAAGGTTGCGGGTTCGAGTCTCGTACCGGCAGGGATTGTAGGTGGGGGAGTGAATGTACAGCGCTCTCTCCCACCTTCAATACCACGACTGAGGTGCCCTTGAGCAAGGCACCGAACCCCAACTGCTCCCCCGGCGCCGCAGCATAAAATGCCTGCCCACTGCTCCGGGTGTGTGTTCATGGTGTGTACTTTGGATGGGATAAATGCAGAGCACTAATTCTGAGTATGGGTCACCATACTTGGCCACATGTCACTTCACTTCAATAAATGGGAATGTTAAACAACTTTAAAGTTAGTTCTCTTGTAATGTAATGTTGTTTGAGAAAAAGTAAATAAAAACTATTTTAGTTCTCTATGAGCAAAAGAAGATTTCAGGCAACAATTCAAACTGTATAAAAAATTATGACTTTATTGTTTGCAGGCATTCAAATTTACAAATTTTACAAGACACAGGCATTGAAAAAAATTTTATTACATGAATAATCTCAATCTCAACAAAAAGGTAAAAAAAAAAAAAAGTGTCAGATTTTGGTAAAATTTTTGTGTGTTGATTGTCTAAAAGTGGTTAGCAAGCCATTCCAGTTTGTATCTGAATAAGATCCATCACTCCTGCTGAGTCACCATCTTCAACATCCGCAGAGCCATTGGCCCCTGGTCAGATGGGATCTGTGATGATGTAATGGATAGAGATGGTCACATACACTCATGAAGTCTAAAAATAAATACTGAGAAATGTATTTTCCCTTCAGAAAAATGAAGCTAAACCACCATAGCTTCTGCAGTTAAAGCCATGCTAAAACTACCCGAATATAACAATATTGAACAATGTTTTACAAACATTAAAATTAGTGCAAAAAAGAATACGGTGTACCATGTGTCCAGCTTTGAGGATCCAGTAGAAGGCAAAGTTCTTGTAGGTCTTATAGAAAGCTCCAGTCTGGCTCTGTGTTTGTGGGTCCTCCAATGCCGTCCATTTCACTTTGTTGAAGTATTGGAGTCCATCCCATTTCAGCTGTTTCACCCACAACTCCTGACCTGCTCACAAATCAACACAAATCAATTATCACTGCAGTGCAGAAACACTATCCTGACAACACCCAATAATAACGGTCTTCCTAAATATCAAACTGATGGGTAAAATGGAGTATAAAAAAAAGCTTACTGACTTACAAACACCATCTATTAACATCCGACCCGGGTGATCTGATCACAAGCGGTCAGCTGTGGCACATTACCAATTACACCGGGCATTAAAAGGCATTGCGTATGACCACTTGAGATCAGATTTAATGGACAGGATGGTCTCTGGTTTCATGACTATATACATCAGTGTACAGCAAGTCGACAGACTTTGTTTGTTGTCTGGGACGTATTAGTTTTGACACACTCAACTATCAAGTGTAAATGGCCCAAACACTATAGTCTAAAATGTGTTGGTCAAGAGTTGCCATTCTGAAATGTTTCCTAATGGTTGATGTCCTCACCCATTGTGTCCACAATGAGATCCAGCTGGCCATTGTAGACGGTAACATTGACTCCTGCAGCCAAAAGCTGATCTACAATGTCCACCACAGGCTTCATGAAATCTCCTGCCATGCTTTCAAACACTGCTTCAGCTTGTCCTGAAGAAACAGGAGAACACTTGTAAGACTCATAATGTTACACAATTACACAAATACCTCTGTAAATTGTAAAAAGAATAATGACCTCCCCATGTGACATTCTTTGGTATGACACCAAGCTTCTGTCTGATTGGCCCATTCATCAACTCTGAAAGGGACTGACGGTGCAAAGGGCGAATGTGGCGACGCTTCAGTGAGGCTGTAAAAACAAGACAAAATGATGAGCAAAACATTTCCATTTATGTCACAAAGAAAGTTTGAATTTGTGCGTGTTGAGTTTCTCACAGAGAAATCCATTGGTTTGATCTGAACTGGTCTTCACCATCTCATCTGAGTTTTGTGTGAGGATGTTATAGAAGTTCACACCATTTGTGTTCTGTAACAAAATAACTGAATGAAGCACATATTATATCTAATTTCTTTAATTAAACAATGCATTAAGACCTCTACGTGAATTTAATCTTAAGCTCCTGGTGCTCGACTCACCTGTTCCACTACATTCTCTGTGATGGACCACAAGTCTGTGGCTTTTTGGTACTGGCCCTGTCTCACTGCCTCCAGCACTGCCTTTGCTGCTTTAGTCACCTCGTCCAGTCCATTGTCATCCAACAGAGACTATAAACCACAGCACAGACACACACATCAGCAGCATTAAACCCTCTGATCAACATGCATCTGAAGTGTCAGAACACCGTTACATAAATCTCATGCACTAAATTGATTAAACACTATCATTCAAAGGTTTGTGCATTTGAAATGCAAGGATGCATTAAATTGATTAAAAGTAAGAGTAAATAAATTTTTAATGTTACAAAAGATTCCTATTTCAAATAAAAGATGTTTCTTTAAGCAGCACAACTGTTTTTAACATTGATAATAAGAAATGTTTCTTCAGCAGCAAATCAGTATATTAGAATGATTTCTGAAGGATCATGTGACACTGAAGACTGGAGTAATGATGCTGAAAATTCAGCTTTGCATCACAGGAATTAAATATATCTTAAAATATATTAAGATGGAAAACAGTTTATGTTTTATGTAAGTTTATGTAAACATTAATAATATTCTACTGCATTTTGGACCAAATCAAAAAATTGAATGGTAGTGTATTGTTTTGATCAGGCTAATGCAATCATGCTTAATCTCTCTGAAGAGACGGAGGTGTTATCATGAATTACTCACTGTGCTGTAAAGATAAGGACCCCATGTCATGACTGAATCTGCATAAAGAGAAAAAGCAAGTGCTGTATTGTAATGCATTACACCTGGTTTTTGCTGTCATGTGAGTCAGGAGGACTATACATGATGATTGTGCATAATGATTAGTAAACCAAGATATGATAACTCCATAAAAAAGACACATAGCTGTACACAACCAGACTAAATTTGACAAGCTTTTTACAGACCTATAGGAGAGATCCAGGAATCTCCCAAAGCCACCCCAGCAAATTTGCATTTGATTGAACCAGCTTGAACAGCCTAAAGAGAGAGGACATAATCATTCAGTACAGATTAAAATTAGTTTGAGGTGTGGTCTGTAAATTAACGTTTAGATGAAATCAGCAAGCACATGGCTTTTTTGATCTTGTGTGTGTTGCTACAAAATTACCTCTCAAGAAGCCTAAAGTGAGAACAATTCTTTCAGTACCTTTGTGAGTTCGAGGGAAATAGCTGCTGCCATTTTGCCTCCATAAGACTCAGAAAATATATAGAAGGGAGTACTCTGTTGGGGAGAAAAGTGAGATACTATGACAAATGTTGAAAATATATTAAGTTCAGTCTGATAGGTATTTTTGTTTTGCTTACTTGAAACTCTGTCTTTAGAGAGAAAAAGCTCTTGAGTAGGACCATCATGTCTGATGCCACCATTGCAACGTCCTTGGTGAGGGCATCTTCAGTGTCTGTGTAACTGTATCCGGTGCCCACTGGGTTATCCACAAATAGCACACTGGCAGCACGCACCTGCATAGACACAAATATTTGTAGGTGAATAATAAATTATTCACAAATTCCTTTTTTTTTTTTTTTTGAAATTGTATATAGTGCGTATATTATATTATAAAGAAACAATGAAAATCAAAAGAGGCAATAAAATATTCTGTATTTCCCAAAATAAACTCCTCAATCAATACTACAGATATGGAAGTCAAGAAAATATTCCTTTACATACCCAAGAGGTTTCTCTCGGCTTGAGGTCTCTGTCAAGAGGTCCAATTTCCTCAAAATTGCCAAAACCACAGCTAGATCCGCCAGGACCTCCCTAAAATAAACAGGAGCATGAGCGACCTTAGATGTACTTCAGAAAAGAGAGGGGAAAATCAGGGTGGACAAACAGAAAAAGGTATAACAGCTATGTAAATTCTAATTGAACGAAGCTTCCAATGAGATTATGATCTGGAGAAGGATATGGAGAAAATAGATGACAGGTCACACTGGTCAGATGAGTGACAAACCTGCAGCCACATAACCAGAGGTAGATCTTTATAACTGGCACTGGAGCTATTGGCATAATAGAGCCACCAGAACATATGAGCTCCATCACGGACATCCACATATCCCCATGACTCTTTGGCTTGAACTGGAACACAACTACCTGTTTTTTGATAAGAAGAACAAACGTTTAGGGTGCAAATGCAGCCGGATCCGGCACTTTTCATTCTGGGACTTTCTGAACGCATGCATCCATTATCAGGAGCACAACACAAACTGCTTGCATACAGTTTAATTACAGCCAAGAAGTTAATACTGTTGTTCTGGAAGAAAAAGGAGGCTCCTACTGTCACATTGGAGAGATTTGGAGAGATGATTTCTACTTTACATTTGGAACTAATTAGATACTGTTTGAAGGGCAGATATGAACAGTTTGACAAAATCTGGCACCCTTTTCTCTGTTATCTTGATGGAAACCCTATAGGACTAATGCATCATTTGTTAATGTAATGTTTTAATATTTCTTCATCATACTTTATAATTTAATGTAAACAGGTCTGGTAAGGGATGGTTTGTGATGTTTTTTTTTCTTCTTTCTTTCTCTCTCTTTTTTCTAATTTTGATTGTATTCTTCGTACAGGTAAAAGAGACGAAAATATAAGATTGCAAATCTTTGTTTCAATAAAACGCTTTTTATTACTAGGTGTATTGGATAATAGAATTATAATTTTAGCACAAAAAAAATTAGTTTGGCGGTTATATGATGCTGTATTTGTGTTTTACCTTTCCTGTAGAGATAACAGAGGAGCAATGGAGAACTGTAGTAGGACAGAGACCACAGCACTGAGGCCTGAAGGACAACACATGACAGTAATTAAACTTTGCATTACAAAACCTTTGGGCTTTTTTTTTTTAACAGGATTGATTTGGTAACTACACCAACTGCAGGGTGCAATGAAACATGACTGTGATCACATACCCATCCGAGGATGCTATCTGAGTGCCTCTCCAAACCTCTGGGCTGATAATTCCAGCCCTACATAAGATAAAGACATGGCAATTCTGAGTTTGATGTATCTTCACTAAAGTTTGCTATGGCGACCACCATAGTTTCTACACTTAATAATACCACAGATATTGTTACAATAAATCTGTGGTCACTTGGCATTAGATACAGACCAAAAAATAGGTTTGATAGATACAATGTACCAATATTCTCACATATCTACTCTTCATCAGTTCACTGTAGTAATTTGTTGGTTTGTATAAATTTTTTTCCACATAAAAGCCATTCATTCTGCCAGAACGCATTTTAAGAATCACATAAACATGAAAATAAATTATATCCATTTAGTTTAGTTTCATTTATATCCCAAAACAACTAGCAATAGTATCATTATTGATGGTGTTATTCTTCTTATTATAAAAAATATTCAAAATCCATGTTGTGTTTTTACTGTTGTAGTCTAATAATTATGCTATTTATTTTGCCACAAATTTGCAACAGTGAAATATCAGTTAATTAGAACTAAAAGTAATCAAACAGAAAACAATATATACATAAAAACATTCCGATAAATATTGGTTACAAAACATATCTGTCAATCTCTATTTAGTTTTAGCCACTACAATCTTTTATTAAAAAAAAAGTTTAAAAAAAATATATATACATATATATTTATATATATAAACAAAATGATAGAAATATTTTTATTATAGAAATAATCTTACATTTTTGAGGGAGAACCTACAGTTACATACAGTACATTAATGATTTTACAGTAGTAAAAACAAAAAAGCATTCTATGGTATTTTAAAGGGTAGATTCATGTGTGAGACTACTGAGCTGTTTCTCTGTGAAGGGGGTAAGAGAAAGATTAACGTTACTCATTCAGTTATTATTGCAACAGCCTATGATTCATAACAATGACAAATGTCTGATGTCTAACCCAAATAGAAACAGAATAAAAACGCAATAATTCGACGCATGAGTGCGCTAATAGTGTTGTTATGGTTGTGCTCCTCATGACAGATGCTAGCCTGCCCTGTCACTCGACCACGAGAGAGAAGCTCACTTCAGTTAGCAAACAGCTCTCTGTCAATGGCTGTCTCACAACAGAGAGAGCTGCCTATCTAGACACTGTTTTAAGACATCATTTGAGCTCATTTCGAACGTTCCGATTAAATCAAATCGCATTTGATGGTCAAATGCTGTCTAGATAGGCAGCCCACTTGGATTTGAGACTCCGCCAATAGCACAATAATGCACTTCCGCACACTCTTGCGAGACTGATCTCGGCAGTGTTTTAAGGCTATGGATCTGTCTAAAGGGGATGAAAGAGTCGTACCCTGCGGGGCGTTCTGCCGTCGGTACGTGTCTGGTCCGGTGAGCGGTGGATCCGCTGTAGATTGGGCCCGAAAAGGCACCGGAGCAACATCCAGCCGGCCATTCTCACCTCGGTCAGGAACTACGGCGGCCTGTGATGATCACACAGGTACTACAGCAGCGAATGCAAAAAAGAAAACCACTAAACAGCCGCGGCTTCGGGTGTTCAATGCATTCGATGCATGTGTTCAATGAAAAAAGAGATGTGTTTTATTAGGGAATATAACAGACAAAATTAATCAAATAATAATACATACATGCACCATAAGAAAATAAATATATCATAAAATGTTGCAATCCATAAATAAAATGCGATCGTAAATAAGGCTCAAAATTGTATTTATTGTATTTATTATTTTCATTGCATTTTTATTTGCTGAAACATGTCCTTATATGTTTATTTTATGATCTGTTAATTTACTTAATTTTGACATTGAATAAATAGTTGCATTATAAACAAATATTTTATAATAAATAAATGTATAAAATGTAGGCTATATAAAATCTTGCAATCAATACATGAAATTTGATCATAAATAACATATTAAGTTTTATTTATTTGCTCACATCATATTTTTAATTTTTAATTATCAATCAATTGATCGATCGATTAATCAATTATTTAATTATTTTTGCTGAAACATTTTGTATATAGTGCGTATATTATATTATAAAGAAACACTGAAAATCAAAAGAGGCAATAAAAATATAGTGCGTATATTATATTATAAAGAAACAATGAAAATCAAAAGAGGCAATAAAATATTCTGTATTTCCCAAAATAAACTCCTCAATCAATACTACAGATATGGAAGTCAAGAAAATATTCCTTTACATACCCAAGAGGTTTCTCTCGGCTTGAGGTCTCTGTCAAGAGGTCCAATTTCCTCAAAATTGCCAAAACCACAGCTAGATCCGCCAGGACCTCCCTAAAATAAACAGGAGCATGAGCGACCTTAGATGTACTTCAGAAAAGAGAGGGAAAATCAAGGTGGAAAAACAGAAAAGGTATAACAGCTATGTGAATGTGGATTGAAGGACGCTTCCAAAGAGATATGATCTGGAGAAGATATATGACAGGTCACACTGGGCAGATGAGTGACAAACCTGCAGCCACATAACCAGAGGTAGATCTTTATAACTGGCACTGGAGCTATTGGCATAATAGAGCCACCAGAACATATGAGCTCCATCACGGACATCCACATATCCCCATGACTCTTTGGCTTGAACTGGAACACAACTACCTGTGATAATAAGAACAACAAAAGTCACATTATATTAATTTAAGTCTGAAGATTGCACAAAACGATTCTTGTTCTGAATCCTCATTTGATCCTGAGCCTCATTTGGGTACGACCTCAGCGGCGTCTCACAATGAGGTGAGTGCCTGGGGATTTCCTGTGGATTTACCTGGCCCATCAAACAGCGAAGTGTGTTTAAGAAATACTAAATGTAGGGATGTCCATCAATTTCACACTAAGTTTCTCAAAACTCATAAAGATACTTTAGCTCCTGTTATTTCTCATTTAATTAATTTATCATTTGAATACAGTGTTTTGCATGAAAGCAAGCCATTGTTTTTCCTATTTTTAAATTCGGGGATCATTTCAAGATTAGCAACTATAGACCTATCAGCATACTTCCAGTAGTCTCAAAAGTTGCAGAAAGGTAGTTCTTGAACAACTGACATCTTATCTTAATACAGCTAAGGTTGGTTTACACTGTATGCAATTTGGTTTCAGAGTAAATCATTCTACTGAAACAGCTACTTTACATTTAACAGAGCAAATCAAATCTAGGCTTGATAAAGGTGGAACAGTTGGTGCTAAATTTTTAGATTTGCGTAAAGCCTTCGACACGGTTAATCACAATGTTCTTCTTTCTAAATTATCTAAGTTTCAATTTTCATCCGGGGCTTTAGCATGGATTTCCTCATATTTATCAAATAGACAGCAATTTGTAAAAATCAAAGGGGTTCATTCCAATAACTTAAACAGCAAATCAAATCTAGGCTTGATAAAGGTGGAACAGTTGGTGCTAAATTTTTAGATTTGCGTAAAGCCTTCGACACAGTTAATCACAATGTTCTTCTTTCTAAATTATCTAAGTTTCAATTTTCATCTGGGGCTTTAGCATGGATTTCCTCATATTTATCAAATAGACAGCAATTTGTAAAAATCAAAGGGGTTCATTCCAATAACTTAAACTGTACAACGGGCGTACCCCAAGGATCAATATTAGGCCCTTTATTATTTAGTTTGTACATTAATGATCTCCCACAGCAGTGTGAAGGGATACAAGTGCAAATGTATGCCGACGATACTGTTATTTTTACACATGCGAGAACAGCAGAGTTAGCAGCTGAAAAGCTAAATGTTGCTATGGAAAGGATTACACAGTGGTTAGAGCAATAGTATCTCACCTTGAACACTGGTAAAACAAAAGGGATGTTTTTTTCTAAAACAAATGTGTTCTTCCAATGCAGATATTTTGGAAGAAAAGATATAAATGGTGAAAAGATAGAAATTGTTACCGAGTTTAATTAGGCCTATCTTGGTTTAAGGCTGGATCCAAACCTTAGTTTTAAAAAACATGTAAAGAAAATGGTGAGGACTATAAAATATAACTTGTTAAATTTTAGACAAATGTCTACCCACTGATGTAGCTAAGACTTTTATGCATGCTACAATCTTTTCTCATCTGTCATACAGTACTGTCTGACATGTTGGAGTCGAGCAGGAGAAACTGTTATCAAACCTTTAAAATCTCTTTATAAGCAGACTTTAAAAAGCAGGACAAAAAGCCTAACCAATATCACCACTGTAGGGTTTTGGAGAAATAAAAATTTTTGAGCGTTGATAATTTTAGACTTTTCTCAAATTTGTGTATGGTATATAAAGTTTTAAATGGTTTGGCTCCTGCCATACTTCGTGATTTTGTGCATTTTCGCTCTACAGTCTCTGTAAGATCTACTAGATCATCATCTACTAGTGATTGTTTTGTTCCTTTTCGTCATTCTGTCTTTGGATCATCATCTTTCTCAGTGACAGCTATTATTCATTGGAACACTCTACCAGAAGACATAAGGATGTGCACATCTATTGACATTTTTAAACTAAAACTAAAATCTTATTTAAAATCAACTCAACTCTGTAAACACTAACATGGTTGTGGACATTTTAAAATTAAAACTAATCTTATTTAAAATCAACTCAACTCTGTAAACACTGACATGGTTGTGGTTTAAACTGGACGCTATCTTTACTGTTCTTTTTGGCTCTGATAGAATGTGTATAAGTATTACTGTATTGTATGTGTTTGTTGTCTTATGTTTACCTATGATTATGATTACCTGCCAAGGGACCGCGGATGAAAACTAGCCACTGGCTAAATTCGGTACAATGCATGAAATGGAACATTTATGTTAAAATTGTGCATGGTCCCTTTTCAAATAAATGTAAAGGTTCCTTATCGGTTACGATTTATTACGTTTGAGGAAGAAATATTTAGGGGGGAAAGGAATGCAATTCGTATAGCAATTTCTCCCCTTAGATATATTTAAAAAATGTAACAGTAAAAGTTTATTGTTCATTTCGAGTCGGACTTGACGAAAAGTTACTTGCGGTGCAGCATAGAATATTCAGTTTTTAGATGAGAAAAATTGTACAAACGAGAATATATAATCTATACACACACACACGTATATAAAAATTACAAATAAACTTTGCACATTTGCATAAGTTTTTGCTTTCATATGTTTCCAATACGTTTTAATGTCAATGTTATATAATTTGTTCAAACATAGCATTATTTAATTCCATTTGACATTGTGAATAATATAATAACCAGCCATTATAACAATTAAATCAAATATAAGCGCCCTATTGACATGTATATGATTCATTAAAAAGAACCGACTCATACGAGTCATCGTATCGTTCTATCAAACAACAATTACGCGAATGCATGTTCGAAAACCCTCGACAGAACCTAAAATGAGGAAAATCATTCGGTTTCTTTATTATTTTAACTCTGTTCTCAGTTCACAGATTTGCGTATAACAGGATGCAAATGGAAAAAAAGGACATTATATCTTTCGCTTTCACTTTGTATCTAAAGTTACAAAACATTTCAGTATATCTTCTCATGTTACACTCCTTAATACCAATAACTACAAAAAGTATGACTGAGCCTGAAAAGATACACATAATCCCTACAAATTTCCAAAGGGTATCATTCAGCAGCACACAGATATATATTCCATACCTTTATAAAAACTCACAGCAAGCAGCACAGCCAGCATGCCCATCCACGAGCGCGCCATTATTATCGATCTCAAGCTCTCTCAAACAGCCTGCCACACGGGCTGTGTTCGGACCCAGCACCGGCTATAAGCACTCAAACCCAGTCCTCTGGACACTGTAAGGATCGGTATCATATGACTTCAGTCAGCTGACGAACAGGGAAGTAAACTGCAGTTATTCTCTTCCACACCAAAAGAGAGCAGCAGAGTGTGTGACAGCGCGACCGAAGCCCCTGTTTAAAACAGTGAGCGCCTCCATCGTCCTCATTGACAATATACTGCTCAGGCATGGCCACCTCCAGTATCAGTTCTGTCAGGGTTAGATTGTACTTTGATTATCCTCCTCCTGCGACATCTGAGTGTCGGATGTGTTGGTTGCTGGTGGACTTAAACAAATGCCGAGTTGTCGCAGATCTTTCCAGCATCATAAAGGAAAAGTTTGGCTACAGCCGTAGGACTATTTTAGACTTGTTCATTGAGGATTGCTACCTGCCTTCCACAGAAAGTATTTATATTGTACGTGATAATGATAGCATAAGGTAAGAACTGTATTATGTAATAATATGGCGAACGTTTATGCTAGTTTAGATAACCTTTTTATGTTGACAAGTGTTTATTTATCATGTCTATTGACAGGGTGAAGGCATCCAATGCGGTTTACATTAATGGAGAAGAAGTTTACCAGAACTCTGAAGCACAAAACTCAAAGACCAACAAAAGAGGGAGAGAGGATGAGACGCAGATCAGCAAAGGTCTAAGTAAAAAAAAGAAACATGAAGATGTGCAAATCAATGGCTCGGCACCAGCAGAGGATGCCAAGAAGAAGAAGAAAAAGAAGAAAGAGGTAAAAGAGTCAGCCGCCAAACCTGCAACCCCGCAAAAGAACACTGAAACCCCATCTACTAAAAACAACAGAAAAGGCATTTCTGCTGTCCCTACCGGTGACAAAACAACTCGTGCCAAGACTCCGCAACCAACGTCAAGTTCTTCGGACAGCAGTGAGGATGAGTCTCACAATAAGGCCCCTCCACCAAAACCTAAACCCAAGCAGAATGGCGCTGCCAAAAAGCCACGGAAAGAAAGCACATCATCTTCGGATGACAGTGACACAGAGAAACCCAAAAGCAATGTTCCTGTACAGTCGCTTCCGGTTACACCCAAACTATCTAGCACGACCTCAAAACTTCCACTACAGACCCCACAACGCAGAGAGAGCTCCACAGATTCCTCTTCCTCATCACCCAGCCAAGCCAGACCTACAGCTAAGAAATCACAAGTAGCAACTCAGCCCTCCTCAGCTACAGCTCAGTCTGTCTCGTCTTCAGTGTCTAAAAAGCCCCAGGATAAGGCCGAGAGCTCAGACTCTGAGGCCAGTGAAATAGAGCTTGTGATTAAGAAACCAAACCTGCAAGGGATGGGATTGAAAATTGCTGGTGTGAGCCCTGGTGTTAGTGAGGCAGCAGGCAGGGACAGAGGGAACACAAGAGGTCAGGAGAGAGGCAGAGGTCGCGGTGCGAACCGAGGCAGTGGGAGAGGAGGTTTTGGTAGGGCCAAGGGAACACCGTGGAAACAAGACTTGCATTACAACTATGGAAATGGCGAGCGGCAGAAACAGAACGATTCTCTGACTAATGAAAGTTTTATTCTGCAGGTGAGTTGGAAGTGAAGATGTGGTTTATAAGAAGAAGCTACTGTTACCCAATTTTTTTCCAAAAGAATTGCAAGAAAAATGGCCTCTAATCTAAGGTTTTCAACCAGGGATCTGTGGATAAGATATTCAAATCATAAACAATTTTCTTTAAAAAAAACTTCTTGGTATTTGTTTGCTTATCAGGTTATTATGTAATGATAATCAGTGTTTTTTGTTAACAAAAAAAAACTAGATTTTCTCAGTAAAATTAAAAATATATATAATACACATTATTTATATAATAAACATTTTTGTGAAAAGTGACTGATTGAAATCTAGCTTTATGCTGGTCAGTAAAGGTTGAAAACCCTTGCTCCAGATAAAACATTTTCATATGTCCAGACCTGGACAACGTTTTCAGCTAATTTTTATTAGTTTTTCATTTTTTTTAAATTAAGTAATTTCTATTTATTCATTAATAATAGATATTCTAAATAATAAATACATAATTATATTTATTTATTTTTTACACTTTAATCACTAACCATACAGGTAATTCTTTGTGTTCTTGTAGAATCCACCTGAAATAGCTCCTAGACGGGACTACGCAGCTTTACCCTTGCTGGCAGCTCCCCCTGCAGTGGGCCAAAAAATCGCCTTTAAGGTACAATGTGATATGATAAATGATAATAGATATACCTCAGTTTTAATGTTTTAAATACCTTGCTAGTTTTTCTAGATTCAGTGCCCACATGTAAGTTGTCTTTGAGTATCTCATGGTTCTCTCTTGTCTTAAAGCTTTTGGAGCTGACTGAGAACTACACACCAGAGGTGTCTGATTATAAAGTAAGCCATCATACACTTCTTTAATGTACAGTAAACTGTGTTGTGTGTAATATAAATTAACAATTTGCTGTTGTTATTTAGGAAGGGAAGATTATTGCATTCGATCCTCAAACAAAAGTGATGGAGCTTGAACTTCTTTCTCAACCTCAAGGTATCGCCAAAACACTTTTTATGTTTGCCACTGTTTCAGTTCTATAAATTTGAAGCCTGGAGGTTTGCAGCTGCTTTATTACACACTAGATTGCACTCTTCCTTCTGCAGCAAAACCTTATTTTATTATGTGTCTTTTAGCTCCAGCTGAACCTGGCAAGTTTGACCTGGTATATCAGAGCCCTGATGGATCCGAGAGAGTAGAGTATGCTGTCACACATGGATCACAGGTACTGAATGTTCTCTTAAAGAAATGGGCATCTAAAAATGAAAATCTACTTACCCTCAAGTCATTCCATGGAACAGATTTGAAGAAAATTTAGCATTACATCACTAACTCACCAGTGGATCCTCTGCAGTGAATGGGTACCGTCAGAATGAGAGTCTAAACAGCTGATAAAAACATCACAATAATCCACACAATTCCAGTCCATCAATTAATCTTTTCTGAAGCAACAAGCTGTGTGTTGGTAAGAAACAAATCCATCATGAAGACATTTTCAACTTCAAACTGCTGCTTCAGGTTAAAATATGAGTTCTATAATATTGTGTCTCCAGTGAAAGTATTGTCTCTTCTGAATCAGGAGAGAAATATGCATAGATGAAGCATGGGTTTCAAGCGAAAGCAGTTCGAAACAAATATGTTGGTGGATTTTGCTTTGAGAGGACAACAGGGGGTGAACTTTTTTTTTTTTTTTACTGGAGGAAGTGTCATTATAGATTATGGCCAGAAGCAAGAGTTTAAAATGAGTTAATAATTGTTTTGTTAAATACAAACGGCTTTTTTTTTTTTTGCTGATGGACTGGTGTCATGTCAAATTTTCATTTTTGGTTAAAATATTCCTTTAAATATTACATAATAACCATGTCAAGTTCACACCCACCACATCACTTGGACTTTAGAATGGCTGTAACATTGAATTGACCAATCAGAATTCAGAGACAGATCTATCTACTTATTAAAACGGTTTTACTATGGATTGGAAATTCATATTAACTGCTCAGGGGTCCTACTAAACAAAGGCCAATGTACTTGTTGTCGTTAAGTGAATATGTGTATAATATGAGTTATATAACACACATACACTTACAAAATTACATTTTGCCATTACATATATTGGTAGGGAGATGTTTTAGATATCAGCAGTGGTAGTCGTATGGATAAAAATTGCTTGTAGTAAGAAGAGTGTTTGTGACTAATTAGCACCATGATTAATTATTTCTCAGACTCGTGTTGTATTTTAAATTCAGATTATGGATCATAATTACAACGCTTGCTGGGGAAGTGCATTTGACACACAAGTTTCAAAGGGATATAAATGTGCATACTCCATGTTTAACACATGCAGTGTCCCTGACAGTGCTGTTGCGAGCTCTAAACCCTCTTTTGTAGTTTGGATTGTAACCCCATCCCCCAATTGGGCTTTTCTGATTATCCCGTATAATTGTTGAAGTGAATAAGGGCAGTTCTTTGTACAAGTGTATGCTGTGGTAGGCTAAAACAAGCCTTTCTTTGATGTCTTTCCTGCAGCTGACGGAGCGCTGGGATTCTCTTTTGGAGCCCCGGCTCATTGTGGAGAATGTTGGATGATGGTCATGCAAAACATGTTAACTGAGCCAGACCTTTACGGACAACCTTTTTTATTTTAATGCTGCTTTGTTGAAACAGCTAATTTCCATATTGTATTAACTTTAAATTTTATTCTCAATGTCAGTTAAATAAATAGTTTTTTTTATATGGGAGTAGAGGTGATTGATTTATTATTAGTGTGTGTTTATACAGTGTGTGCAAATAGCCAACAATGTTGGCCTAGGCTGTTTTTACTTACTATGGAGAGATAGGTTTAGGTTTTAGTACGAATCGCATAATTCTTTTTAGATGTTGTGTGACTATCACCTGTCACATTGTATTAACTTTTAATTTTATTCTCAATGTCAGTTAAATAAATAGTTTTTTTTATATGGGAGTAGAGGTGATTGATTTATTATTATGTGTGTGTTTATACAGTGTGTGCAAATAGCCAACAATGTTGGCCTAGGCTGTTTTTACTTACTATGGAGAGATAGGTTTAGGTTTTAGTACGAATCGCATAATTCTTTTTAGATGTTGTGTGACTATCACCTGTCACAATTTACACTTAGTGTAAACAATATTCTACTTGATGCTTTTGAGAAGAAAATTGAATGTGTTAATTCATTTGTTCTGTTTAAAAATAAAGTTTACACTCTTGAACTGAGTGAACAAAACTGAAGCAATATGTCTGCTAGAATTTATACAATTCATGTCTTCTTTTACATGAATGCTGAAAATAACAGTAGCGTCATCAAAAGCAAGCAACAAAACTGAAAATAAAGCGCGCGTGTATCGTTCTTAATTATTTTTGTCCTATATTGTTACATTGTGCAAAAATAAGTGAACATGTTAGATGTGTTACATGTTTCCCAGAAGACAAAATAAGTTGAATTTACCCTGATCTTCACCCCCCGGCTCTTAATGCATGGTTTTTGCTTCTGGAGCATCAGTGAATGTTTGAACCTTCTGTAATAGTTGCATATGAGTCCCTCAGTTGTCCTCAGTGTGCAAAGATGGATCTCAAAATCATACAGTCATTGTTGGAAAGGGTTCAAATACACAAAAATGCTGGAAAACCAAAGAATTTGTGGGACCTGAAGGATTTTTCTGAAGAACAGCAGGTTAACTGTTCAGGACAAACAAGGGACTCGTGAACAACTAGCACTAAACAAAAAAACACAGCTGTGGATCATTCAGGTAACCACACAGTATTAAGAATCAAGTGTATGTAAACCTTTGAACGGGGTCATTTTTATAAATTCAATTATTATTTTCTCTTCTGGACTTTATGTAAATATCATGCATTTTGTATGATCCCTCTTATTATGGTAAAATAGTTACATTTTGCAGATTCTGAAAGGGGGGTGTAAACTTCCCAACACTGGTAATGAATAGTAGTAAGAATAATGTTCTGACCTGATGTATGAACTGATATTCATTCAGCAGTGCTGACACCCTGAGCAAGAGAACAGGAACATATATAGTTGATAATGTATCTTTTGTTTTGAAACCGCTTTGATTGGGGATCAGCCCAAAAATGTTGTCACTTAAAACCCCTTAACTGTCACCGTCCCACCTGTGGGACGCTTGGCGCTCTTTTTGTTGTTGTCCTTTTTCTCTGTCAAATGTTTTAGTAATCATCATAAATTATATATCATTGAATGCTTAGAAGCCCAAGATTCATCCTGTGAAAACCATTTTGAAATCAGACATTGTGTTACCATGGAAATGGTACTTTAAAATCTTTTGGCGGTCTCCTCCCCCTTAGTGGGCAGTGTCAAGTGTCATATTACAAAATGCATTACGGTCTTTTAGAATCAAACCTTTTTATAATCTTTACAAAAAACATATCACTGCAAAGGTCTGAGTCTCCGGATTCCATATTTGGTGGTTATTTTGAGATATATTGACAGAGAAATCTAGACATTTGTGACAGAAAAATGCATAAAAAAAAATTCAATGGAGTTTGGATGGCACCCGGTGGCTTTGATAATGTATCTTTTGTTTTGAAACCGCTTTGATTGGGGATCAGCCCAAAAATGTTGTCACTTAAAACCCCTTAACTGTCACCGTCCCACCTGTGGGACGCTTGGCGCTCTTTTTGTTGTTGTCCTTTTTCTCTGTCAAATGTTTTAGTAATCATCATAAATTATATATCATTGAATGCTTAGAAGCCCAAGATTCATCCTGTGAAAACCATTTTGAAATCAGACATTGTGTTACCATGGAAATGGTACTTTAAAATCTTTTGGCGGTCTCCTCCCCCTTAGTGGGCAGTGTCAAGTGTCATATTACAAAATGCATTAATAGTGCACTTTCATGCCTATTTAAAAAAATGGGGGGTGACAGTTAAGGGGCTAATTCAATCCAATCTGAGTTGACACTTATGTCAGTTGCGTGAACCAATCAAAGCGAGCTAAAGGCGTCCGCGTCACACGCGACGTCAAAGCCAGTGTGGCGCTCCTCCCCTCCGCTGCGCCGAGGTTCTCCTCCAGCTGGACTGAAGAAGCGATGCTGCTGCTGGTGTCAGAGCGCCGAGGCTGAGGTGATGGAGAGCGCACTCGCAGCTGCCCAGTCTCTCTAATACAGCGCGTTTAACAGCGCCTCTTCATAAGGATGGACGGCAATGTCTTCCCCGACCAAGAGCAGCTGCTGGTTTTCCTGAAAAAGCTCAAAGAAGTGTTCGACGTGTGCGACGAGGACGCAGACGGATATATTCGCGTTGAGCACTTCGTGCACCTCGGTCTACAGTTCGGCCAAGGAGATGAAGTAAGAACCTCTCTTTATATAATCACTTACTCGTTTCCTTCGTTCTGGAATGTTTGGCTTTTAATATTGCAGAGCACTTTTGTACCTTACATCTTACAGTCTCTGGGATTAATTAAAACGCTTAAATTTCTCCAAATTTAACGCTGTTAAATGCAATCAGGTTGGTTTATCCACATATCTTGTTTTCTGTAATTGGTGCCGGACTGGTGCTATAGATTTATGATTTATTAGGCCTACTTATGTAGGTAGTTTAATAAATGCACTTCCGCCAAGTAACCAAGACAACTGTCTCCTCGCTCTCCTTCATCAACTGTGATGTCATCAGGCATCACTTGCAGAGTCAACAGTTTATGTATATACCACATATCTTGTTTTCTGTAATTGGTGCCGGACTGGTGCTATAGATTTATGATTTATTAGGCCTACTTATGTAGGTAGTTTAATAAATGCACTTCTGCCAAGTAACCAAGACAACTGTCTCCTTGCTCTGCTTCATCAACTGTGATGTCATCAGGCATCACTTGCAGAGTCAACAGTTTATGTATATATATATATATAAAGGATATATCACAATATTAATTGCACTAGGCCATTGGCCATTTAAAATGAGAAAATGTGTAAATGGATAGTTTACACATTTCCTTAACATGAAGGTAAAATTCATAGAATTAAAAATGATTCTGTTTATTATTCCAAGAATTCAGAAAATTATTTCATGGAAAATGTGACATTGTAGTTCTGAATCTGTTATGTTGCGAAATTCCAGCCTGTCAAATAATATGTTTGGTAAAGGTTGGCCTGATGTACCATCTTGCATTATTATTTGTATGGTTTAAATATCATACAGGATGCATTAAAAATTACATATTTAAATGCTATTTTATTTATCCCCCCCCCAATTTTAGTTTGTTAATCAAAATAATAATTGATTTCATTTTTAAAACGAATCATGATGTCATGCATGTTCTATCATTCTAGCATAGTTCTTGTCTCAAGCAGTGAGCAGTACTGGATTTCTTAACTGTAGATCTTGACCTTGCATTTCTAGCTCCGGTGGTTTGGCTGCGTTGTTCAATGTGTGCTTCTTGATGGGCTGCCAATAAATGCTTTTGTCTAGAAATCTGTCTAATGGAGAGTGACTAGTCAATATCCACTGCCCTGTGTGAGTTCTGCTCCTGCTTTATTGCATTCAGTTGCGTTCAGCTCTCTGACAACAAAATATAGCATGTGTCTGTGGACTTTCTCAATAACATAGTTCTAATGCATTCATTAATAAATCTATTTAAAGTGGCAACATAATGAAAACATGATTGACTCCCATAAGGATTTATTATTAATGCTACATTAAAACGTGTCTCTCGTGGTGATCGTTGAGTTGATCTGTCACTTCAGCTTATCTGCTCCAGAGAACTGCCTGTATTTAGAGCGTGACCAAAACAAACATCATAATGACAGGAATCACAGGTGCTTTGGCTAATCCTCATGATCTTTTTCTCATTTACAGAGACCTCTATTATTCTTCTGCCCAATTGGGCCACACTGTGTTTGTCAGGAGGCCTTTTTTATGTTTTCTTTTTAATAAGAATCACTCAGGAGAAGATGGACCCCTGAATGTGCTTTCTCATGTCATTAGGCTGGTATGAAGGCACAATACAAACAGCAGAAATTACGGCTATAAAAATACTCATTTCCTTTGCTGTCACCATAGCAATCCATGTTTAACAATCTGAGGATGCTGAAGAGGCCTTTCCTTTCAGTTAAAGCCGGGTGGTGTTTAAGATAAGGATGTAGTGCAGGTAGTGTTTTGGATCTGTGGGGTACACAGACTTTAACAAAGATATCTGGATTTGCAGGGTCATTTTGAGATTGGCTTGAGATTTTGGTAGTATATAAGTATTTTCTCTACATGACACAAATTATAGTCTTTTTTTCTGCATTGTGTGCTGCTCAACCATGTGCAGCCGTTCTTGGTTGACGTTTGCTTTTTTGTTCAGATGATTAAAGGGGTCATATGATGCGATTTAAATTTTTCCTTTCTCTTTGAAGTGTTACAAGACATTTCTGACGCGTTCGGCCAATCACAATGCACTGGGTCAGCTGGCCAATCAGAGCAGACTGCGCTTGTCAAAGGAGGGACTTTGTAGAAAACTAAGCGTTTGAGAGAGGCGGGGCATAGAGGACCTACAATAATGTACAGTATTTGAAAAATAATGTGTTTTTTGAACATTAAAACATGTCAACATATTCTGTTACACCAAATACACAAAATAATGATCTTTAAAATAGCATCATATGACCCCTTTAAGATGTTAAATTGGCTTTCTTTGCACATTCAATTTAATCCATAATGAATTGTGGTACCTCAAGGCTTTTTGACATTTAAAATGAGTCTGTATAGTCAGTGGACGGCAGTGGACCTGCCTCAGTTTGCCTACATCTTTTTCAGGAAATCTTGATGTTGTGCGTGGCCATAGGTTCATGTACTGCACATCTGGATTATTAATGTGATTATTAAGATCACAGATTATCTAATTTGATTTCAGAAATGAATCCCATGCCAGCTCACTGAGTTGTCACAGAATGTTTTGCTTGCTAAACATGGTGAGCAGTATGCAGGAGTCAGCAGTGGTGACAAATGGGTGATTTTATCTGATTGATAGTGGGCACAAAGGGGAAGGACTCATCGTCTTTCTAAACTTTCAGTGCAGATTCAAACCAAAATACAAATCATTACTGCTGCATGCTGCAAACGCACAATGTTTAGCTGTATGTAATCACCTCTCAATGACTTGTGCATTATAATGTGGAACTGTGCTATTACATTATATCAGATGCTTTAAGTGTTAGCCTAAAACATTGTTTGACATTGATGTTTTAAACATTTTGTACATGTTTTATATGTTATGTACGTCATGATTTAGTTGTTTTTGTAGGTTCTATATTTTTATTGGTTATCTTTATTTTTTCTGTTATTAATGTACACTACTGTTTGGGGTTGGTAAGATGCACACCAAATAGTGTACACCAGAGTTGGCAAATAATAGATTTTAGATACTGAATGTTTGGTCATGGCCTTTCAGTTTGGACTTGTGTTGTTGTTTTGTTATTTATATATTTACATACCATTCTAAAGTTTGGGGTCTGATTTAAAAAAAAAAATTTTTGAAACAAGGCTCATCTAGGCTACTTTTATTTGATCAAAAATAAAGTAAAACAGTAATATTGTGAAATATTATTACAATTTAAAATTACTTTTTTCTGTTTTAATATACTGTATTTTAAAATGTAATTTATTCCTGTGATACAAAGCTGAATTTTCAGCATGATTACTCCAGTCTTCAGTATCACGTGATCCTTCAGAAATCATTCTAATATACTGATTTGCTGCTCAAGAAACATTTCTTATTTCTTCTTCTTCTTATTATTATTATTATCAATGTTGAAAACAGATGTGCTGCTTAATATTTTAATTTAATATTTTATTTTAATTAATAATTTTTTTAGGATTTTTTAATGAATAGGAAGTTAAAAATAAAAGCATTTATTTTAAACATAAATCTTTATTTTAGGGGTTTAGTTTTTAATAGAAAACATTATGAATGTCTTACTGTCTCTTTTTATTAAAATTTAATGTTCTTGCTGAATAAAAGTATTTATTCCTTTTAAAAAATAAAATAAAATCTTCCTGCCCCGAAACTTTTGAACACTAGTGTGCATTTTTTTGTTTTGTTTTGTATATATGTCTATTTAGCTGGATTCTATCATAATAGAATATAATTGAATATGGAAAAGTAGTAATAATAATCCTGTAAAAAAGTGCAATGAACAAAATGGCTATAAAGTAGTGTATTTATCATTAGTCAGAAGCAAATGTTTTTGTGCCAGGTTGTACCAGTTGCAGCGCTACAGTTGAGTTCTTTGTGTGAGTGTGAGGTACAGTCACAGATGACTGGTCTCTCTGCGTGGTGCTAGTCACAGATTTTGACTCACAGTTGTGAGGAGCAGTTCATGATAGCAGCTTGAATGTTTGTGATGACCGTCTCATCGCAAATACCTCCTCCATTATTTACATTTCTCTAAATGTCATCACCTTATATCCATCCCTTCTTCCATTTTTATTTGCTGTTATCTCATACCCTTTCCTTTTCCTCTTATGGCTCACCTTTTTCTTCCTCCTCCATCTAGTCTTCACCTTCATTCCTTATTCCTCCCTCTCGCCTCTCCCCTCCCCTTCTCCATCTCCTCCTCCAGTCCGTTTCCTGATGATGAGGTTGCTGTGATTGGTATGCGTGAAGAGCACGAGGATGTTTCAGTGCAGAACGTGTGGTGAACATGTGTGCCTCTGCTCTCCATCCCCTCCCACAGGCTGCACTGCATGGGGTGGCCTTGAAGAGCGGTTGCTAACATTGAGCCCTTGATGCAACACTCATTAACAACAGCACTGCTTCACAGGGACCCACACAGTGACAAGACTGAGCTTTAATTTAATCTTTCACAGACGTTATTTGACCTTTCTAGGCTCAAACGTAACAGAATGCAAAACTGGCAACGAAAATGTTGCTTAATGCATCACAAATGCTGACTGACTGTAAGGATGAAGACTGATGAAAGACTCTTGCTTGATCAGTGAGTTCAATCGTAATCAGCCTGCAGATATTCTGGACGTGGTGTGAATTTTTTTATTTCTGCTGATGTCACCAGTTTTTAGTTATGTAAACTGAACACAACTGCTCTAAAGTACTTCTTTAAAGGGACATTTCATCTGTCATTGGTTACTCCCCCATACCGTTCAAACCTGTATGACTAATGAATACATTTTTAAAGGCATAGTTCACCCAAAAATGAAAATTACCCCATGATTTACTCACCCTCAATCCATATGACTTTCTTCTCTCAGACGAATACAACTGGAGTTATATTGAAAAATGTCTTGGCTCTTTCCAAGCTTTAGTTTAATATAAGTCCAATAAAGTGCATCAATCCATCATAAAAAGTGCTCCGCATGGCTCCAGGGGGTTAATAAATGCCTCCTGAAGTGAATTGATGTGTGTTTGTAGGAAAAATATCCATATTTAAAACTTTATAAACCATAATCTCTAGCTTCCGCTTCCACACGAGAGAGCGCCGTTCCAGCTGATTCACTGCCATTATAAAGCTTGGAAGAGCCAGGACATTTTTTAATATAACTCCGATTGTATTTGTCTGAAAGAAGAAAGTCATACACACCTAGGATGGCTTGAGGGTGAGTAAATCATGGGGTAATTTCAATTTTGGGTGAACTATCCCTTTAAAGGTGGGGTAAACGATTTTTCAAAAACGCTTTAGAAAACTGATTCGGGCAGAATAGCAAAACAAACTTGTAGCCAATCAGCAGTAAGGGGCGTGTCTACTCATGATGTGGAGGAGAGAGAGTTCAGTGCACAGGACGGACATTAGCCGAGCCGAGCAACAGAAAGATAGAAGACAGTTTTCTGTCAGGGATTTGTCATGTCATGTCGTGCCGCGCCGCATCCAGTAGACCAAAGATATGTATATATATCTATGGTGTAGACAGCATCACTGATTATAATGAGTTCTATAGTATTTTGTTGCGCCGCACCACTCGCGTCCGGTGTAGACACGGTGTAACTTTGGTTTTGCTTTGTTTCACAGAACTAATCGTTGCCTGGGTTGCGTACATATGTGTGGGGCAGAGCTATCAAAATAGGGGCGAGACCCTTTTGGGGTAGGGGCGTGTTTGTTTTGGTGATTTCAAATGTCAACATTGGCTACCAGAAATCGCTTACCCCACCTTTAATGAAACCAAAGAGATTTCTGTCCTTTCCATTTCCCTCAAACTTTCACAGTGCAAAAAGTTTAAGACATTGTAAACATAATCAATATGCGTTGAGCAGTTTAATCCAAGTCTTTCTATGTTAATTAAAACATGACTTTAAATCTGTTCATAATAAAAAGTTATTGTGTTTCTTTAGAAGACTTGGATTAAACCACTCAATTTATATGAATTATGATTACAATGTCTTTATGAACTCTTTTGAACACACTCTTTGCTGGCTCTAAATGAGTGAAATCACTAAATACAATGTAACCAAATTATGCTCCTGTTTTTGCACATTCACTGATATGCAGATGATATGCAACATGGATTATTTACAGTGTATGTAACCCAATAGTATCTAGCTGCAGACCCGCAGCACCAGCAGTTTCAGAACTGCAGCCACAGAAAAGTGAGGGGCGGAGCTTACGTTCTTAACAGAGCAGCGCCACCTTACGGTTTTTAAGGGGTAATTTGCTTTTATTACACACGATACGTCATGTGAGCATTACAAGCAAATGAACAATTCACTCTTAGGCCCATTTTGTTATGACAATCCTACAAAAATAACTCCCCTGAACACAAGATGAAATATGAAGGGCACTCTGGAAGCTTCTGATTGTTCCAGGAGATTTTGAGGGCCTTTTCCTTGTCCTCGTCCTCCATTATAAGGAAAAGATGCTCTTCCACTGGCCCCCTGAGCAGCTGTCTGTTGTAATGGAGCCTTTCACAACTTCTGTGAGATTACTGGGATCTCCTTCATTACAGAATATTAAAGGAAAATGTAACTTTAATATTTCTTATGAATGTGTGTATATAGATAGATAGATAGATTTGAGACATACCTCACAAGCGTAGCCTGTTATCCAATTGGAAGGGCCTCTTGTAGGGTTTCTGCACTGTAATATACATGTATCTTGGTTAATTTCAAATTGGTCAGAAGGGGGTGCAAATGTAATGGTGTGCTGGAGGAGATGTCCAGTACCTTTCAGAGAAAACGCCAAAGTTCTCCAGAAGAATAAGAGTTCACCATCTCCATATGATTATACATTTTTGCAACCAATTATTGGTGTGATTATTTAGTTGTTAAATAAGGAACAAGGAAGGTTTTTTTGTGCCATTTACAGGGAGAATATTCTTATTTTTTGTTTTCCAGTACATCTTGTCTTGGGAGCACCCTTTGATTTTACATCTGTAAGTAGTTATCAGTTAAAGTAATTGACCTTTATGATGTTGTAGCAGTTGATATTTAAAGATTTCTCTATGTTTGTGTCTTCCAGTGTGACATTCCAATCATACGGAGATGGTGGACTCCAGATGGTTTTCTCTGAAAGGTACTGGACATTTCCTCCAGCACACCATTACATTTGCACCCCCTTCTGACCAATTTGAAATTAACCAAGATACATGTATATTACAGTGCAGAAACCCTACAAGAGGCCCTTCCAATTGGATAACAGGCTACGCTTGTGAGGTATGTCTCAAATATATCTATCTATCTAGTGTCACCTCTCTGAATCCTTATATGTCTCTACAAGAGATGAAGCCACACACAATTATCTCAATGATGACAAATGGGATTAAAATAACTAAACTACAAGGTAATATTAACACACAAACAATGCATATAACAGAGGGAATTAAAGCAAACTATTTATTTTTATGAATAATAAACGTCTTCAAAACTTCACCGCAAGACCCATTTACAACATGCATCTGAAAATAATTCGAAACATTCAGACAAAAGTTGTATACTATAAAGTATGACAACAAATTCAAGCTTCAATATAAGATAATAAAGCCAAGCACACATTAAGTACTTAGCAGATAAATGCTTAACGTAATATATATGATAATTATTAAACACATTACAGACTACTCACCGTGCTCTCTCGTTGTCAATAACTCCGCCTCTCACTTCTGGTTCTGTGGTTGCGGTTCTGAAACTGCTGGTGCTGCGAGGTCTGCAGCTGGATATATCTTATGTAACCAGGTTTTAAGTTTTGTAATATTTGTATATTTATCTATACTGTTTACACTAACATGCAAAAGTTTAGGGTCGGTAAGATTTTTCAAGGTGTTTAAAGAAGTTATGCTCATCAAGACTGTACTTATGGATCAAAAATACAGTGAAAACAGTAATATTATCACATATTATTGTAATTCAAAATAACAGTTTCTACTTTAATATATTAAAACAATTAATATATTTAAAAAAAAAAAAAAATTCTGTGACGATAAAGCTGAATTTTCAGTCATTACTCCAGTCTTCAGTATCACATGATCTTTCAGAATTCATTCCAAATATACAATATGATTTGCTGCTCAAGAAACATTTAATATCAATATTGAAAACAGTTGTGGAAATCTATTTCTTTCATTTATTTCAAAATAGAAACATTTTGTAACATTATAAATGGGGTAGTGTACATGTTATGTTTCTCTGAATTGTTTTCCTTCTCGGTCTGAGCTGAGGTAGTAGAGACATTTGGGGTAAGTGATTTATTTAGCCCACGTGTGTTCCTCTTTTACTGGTGTGTGCATGCACCATCACAGAGATGCATCACCTGCTTCCATGGCTGCTGTGTTTCAGCTCTCCATCCTATTGCTATTGCTATAAACGCCTCTATTTCTGTGGCAGTGTGGTGAATCATTCTAGCAGGTTATGAGGGGAGGGCTGCAAGACTGAGCGGTTGTCAAGAACACTTCTTCTCTTCTTGGAGGAGAATATATTTAGAAAGTAGTGACGTTGTCAAGGAGCTGTGTGTGAAGTGGGAATCACAGTTACAATGATTTCTGTGTTATAGCAGCCTGTGAGAAATACAGTATTTACTGTTAACAGCTACAGCTACGCTTGACCAAGGTGTTTGAAGGCAAATCTTCTTGAGTAAGCAAGTCTTGTCACATGTCAGCAGTATGTCGGGATCAGTCTTTTTCACCTGGACAGCTGTCCATCATCAAAAAGACTTGCTGACAGCGACGACACGTCCTGACAGCAGCTGTACTAGTGCTTCATCTGTGGGAGGTGAAGCTGACCACTGATAATAAGCACATCCTCTCATTTATTTATAGTAAGGTACCATACTGAACATGTGATCGTCCTCCTCATCAAGGTGACTTTGTGGTTACCGTTCTCACTAATGTCCTTATTTTTCAGGTGAAGAAGTTTGCCAAGTACCTGGATCCCAATGCTCATGGCAGAATTAACTTCAAAGATTTCTGTCATGGAGTGTTTGCAATCAAAGGTAAGAGGACGGTTCTCCTCCAAGCAGTATTTCATGCCCATAAATACCACTGATGAATCTGTTTGCATTAGATGAAAGGGATTCTAAGAACATCAGGGTAAAAATCTCTGAAATATGACTGCAAAAATACAGTTTTTAAAAACGTGTAGCTACACTACAAAAATATTGTCATATTCTTATGTAAAAATGTTATTTTATTGAAAATTAGGGATGTAACGAACCGCGAGCCGGTTGAAAATCGATTCAAATATGTGACGATTCAAATCTGTTGAGATGCTAAACAAATCGCGATTCATTTAGAGGTAGGAGTTTATATGAAAGTATGTCTGAAGGGAACTTACTGTCTTTAGAAACGTTTAGATGGTATTTTTTCTTTTCATCTTGCCTCTGCATTAGTGTTGTCAAAAGACCCGGTATTTCGGTACCAAGTCGGTACTAAAAAAATGAAAAC